GCTCCCATTTCAACTTCCTGCAACCCAACAACAACAATGCCAACATCTGTGACAACAGAACCCAGCCAAGAAATGAGAGAGTCATGAGATGCTTTTTCCTGTCCGACATTCCATGTGCCAGTGAATATTTTTAAGTTTTCCATTCTTGTATACAAGAATTCTTTTGCAGCCAACTCCGAGCGTAGTATGCCGTCAAGGGGTCCTGGAGAAGTAACATTCCACCCACGGATACCACCATGATTTGCCAGGGTAAATATGTAACCAGATCCAGCACACATTTCAATCACAGCACAGCTATGAGCCACCCATCCTCCAATAAGGTTACCTTTGAGGTCCAATACCTGTACAGTACCACTGGCATAACCCACCCATATTCGTGATCCAAAAGAACAAAAACATTGGACAGCATGAGAATGATAAGTGTAATCTAGCAAACGATTTCCATATTTATCCCACTGAACAAGTGAGCCACTTGTACATCCAGTCCATATCATACCATCTACTGTTATCACTAATGCTTCAGTTCTCCGATTATCATCTCCAAAGGCTCCCTTCACAGCAGCTCGGCGAACAGCATCAGCTGCTCCCATTATAGCATTACGTGACCGCTGAAAAAAACCAAAGGCACTTTGTGTCTTCTCTTTCTTTGGAAAAGAAACAGACTCCAACGTAAAATCTTGGACAGGTGTCATATCAACTCGGTTCTCCAGCTGACCATCAGTATTGAACACTTTCAATAGCTCCCTTGTGCGAGCATCCCTTGAAAAGTGGAAACAATAAATAACTAAAATCCACATATTAAAAGGCAATGACTCTTGAAAGTATCCTTTTAGCTACTCAGAAGCAAGTTACAACTACAGCACAAAGAAAACAGGATATTGAAGAGAACTTTTACCCATGGACATGCAGGAACTTATGTGTTTAGGACGTGCTCCAACTGCACGTAACCTTAAAAAGTTCGTACTATGTCGAATGAATGGAAGACAAATTTTTGTAGTGTTTTGGGCAAGGGTTCTCTCTACCTGGCCCCAAGGCGGTTGTGAGACCTCCAACACTTGGAGGGATGAAAAGGGGATCAACCACTAGAAAAGTTTTTGTGAGGGTGATGTACGGTCTGTGTCGGCGTGAGGGTAGTCTAAAATGGAAGTCTCTTTTTTAGGAAGGGTTTCTTGTCATTTTGTAAAAGATCAGTGTTCTAAGGTTAGAGCAAGATTACCAACCCTCTCGAATTGGCTGGGAGAAAGAGCTTTGTTCTCGAATAATCATTGTTCTTACCTTGTCTCTTGTATATAATTCTCATGGCTTCTTATAAATACAAGGTCAAATAAAATCAAATGTATTGTAAATCAAAAAACAAGACAAGACTTTTCATTGATGAAACGAATTGAGGTCAATGTTGCATATAACAAAGGGACTTGATTATATAAGTTCCTAATCAATACACCTTATATTTAGATGGAAAGATTCATCTACTAAAGAAAATCAATCCACCAAATGCAACAACAAAAAAGAGTAAGCAATCTTATGTAACGATCACATGAGTACAAACGTACCAGAGCGCAAAAGAGAGGTCACTGGCACTCCAGACTTTGGCAGTAGAGTCATCAGATAACAAGTACTTAACATCCCAAGTGAATGTGTTACTGAATCCAACACTGATTTGAGTCCTAAGATCAATATAGGATCTTTCCACCAACAAAGAAGCCATAGGACTTTCTTCCGCTGTCAGGGAGAGAGCCTTCTCAATAGCTTCCCATGGCCACACCTTCAAAGCACCTCCCTCGGAACCTGACCAAAGATCACCTAAGAGAAAGAAAGCAAAACCAAAGCAGTCAACAAAAAAGAAGCAAAACCCACCAAGCTTAGACAATCACAAGAGATTATATATACCATAAGATGTCATTACAAGCGAAAAAACAGGACCACGATGAGCTTGCCAAGACAACGCTTCTGCAAAATGACCATTTGAATTCAAACTTTGAATATCCATCCTCCAGCATCTAATCCGACCATCCTTGTGGCCACTCCAAACTAACCGATTTCCCTCATCAGCAACCAAACAAAGAGTAGGAGACGTCCACACTGACTCGCGAAATGGCGCCGTTTCTTCATCACCATTCCTCACAGCCGTGTCTTCTGCCGCAGCATACAAATCCTTGAAATTCCAAAACCGGACACCAAATTCACTACCAGCCCACAATTGGGACTCGCTGCTGGAAATAGTCCTCAAAAAGCACCCGATCTGCGTCTCTCTCAAAGGATGCGGCCTCACTTCAAGACTAGGCGGCCGATGAGGGTGAACAGCAGCACGCACCGCAAGCCTAAAAATCCCAGTTCCTCCGCCCCGCCCAACGAATTCAGGAAGAGAAGAACGACTCACATCATAATCCGAACCCAGAATATTACCATCATGATTACTAAACGAAACAGATTGAGATGAAAGCTTCCGGTCTAGAAATTGCAGCATATAATCCAATCGTCTGGTGGTGGACTCAACGGAATTGGAAGAGACACCGTCATTTTCATTATCGGAGGAAGACGAACTGGAATCGAAGAATTGGGTGCGGTAATTACTGGTAGAATCGTCGCGATTCGAGTACTCAAACCCATAATTGATGTGATTAAGGTTTTGGGTATACGAATTGGTGAAGGGAGATGGAGTATGATCACCATCACCGCCGCCATCGTCGTCGCCAAGGTCGATAAGAGGTGGCGGCTCCATGGGGATCCAGCTAGAAAATTGAAGCAAATCAGAAACAAATCAGAAACAAATCAGAAAAAAAGAGACCCAAATGAATAAAAGAGAGAATAATGTAAGCACCAAATAACAGAAACAGCAAAAATTGGAAGATGACAAGCAAGAGAGAGGGGAACCGTTTTGAGTCAGCCTCATCATTGGCCTCTCGAGGTACTGTTTGGTGCTCGTGGCATAACCCTTTGGTTAAAATCATCGAATTAAATAATATTAATTATTTACTCATTTTTTAAAAATATTATTATTTTTTTATTAGGATAAATTTATTGATATTATAAATTTTTTTTAATAAACCTTTTTTTTAAATTAAAATTTAACACTTTTTAAAAAATTATATTAAATAAAAAAAACTATAATATCCACACAAAAAAATTGTTTAAAAACATTAAATGTTTACATTTTTAATATATAAAATATAATTCACAAAAAACTATTATAGCTTTTAATAGCCTCATCGAGCTAGTTTGATGGGTTGATCCAAATATGACCTAAATAAGACGGACTTGTCTAACTTTTAAAATGGTGATTTGTATCCAATTAAATAATAATGGGTTAGGTCGGATGAGTTGGTCAAACTTTGTGTGAGGTCACATAACGGTTGGAGATGTGAACGAAGCATTTCTTGTAAAAGTGTGGACACATTTTTCTAGGAGACGTGTCTCAAAACGTTAAGGGGAAGTCCATAAGAAAAAGTCTAAAGAGAACAATATTTGTTAGTGGTGGGCTTAGATGTTACAAATGGTATCGTAACCCGACATTAGGTGGTGTGCCGGAGAGGACATGGATTCCTAAAAGGGGTGGATTGTGAGATTTCACATGGACAGAACAAAGCATTTTTTATAAAGGTGTGGAAACCTAGAAAGCGTAGAAGTAAAAGCTCAAAAAGAACAATATTTGCTAACAGTGACAGTTGACTTGGGCCGTTACATTTTGACTTTAGACCAATATTATATCGAACTTAAATTGAGCTAAGCTTATCGGGTTGACTTTTGATTTTCATGTGAGAGAGATATCGTTACATTTTGCGTTGACTTCTAGAGTTTGGTTGATTTTTTCAAGAACTTTCGCTTTGATGGGACAAACAAAATACCACAAGAAAAAGCACTTTTCTCCTCGAGTGGTTTCTCATAGTCTCTTTCACAGTGGAAACTTTTTATTCGTGGAATACCACGTAGAAAATCAATCATAGAAAACAGGGTCATCGTTGTTTGACAATAACAAACGTGTGATGCAGCAAATGTCGTTAAACAACAATGTGATATATTGATAGGAATCTAAACGTGCGACGTTGAAAGATAACTTCCCTTTACTTACATTGAACCAGATATATTCCATCGATGCAAGGTGATCAACATATGCTCTTTAAAGCTACTCTCAGCTTTGCTCGTACCCAGGCACTTGACTTTCGAGCTATTACACTCATCTGGGTTTCTTAAATAGATAATTTGAATGCTCTCAAAGTAAGAACCACTTAATTTTGGACACAAAATGACTTGTAATTCTACCGGTAATCGACTTACTCGAAGAGTCTCGAATAGAAGAGTCTCTTAATCCGTTCAAGTTTCTCGATAACCTATCCCATCAATCACTATATGAAGGTAATAGCAAGACAAGATGATTATCATCTCCGAGATAATGCCATGCCAATATGTTCACCTTCTCCCGACAAAGGCCATGCCATAATCTTCCTATAATCAATCAATTATATCTCTAAGTCAAATGAGTGGTACCCCACAAAGCCATGGTACCCAACAAGGCATGTCCTTGATGTCCCTCAGATCCTCCCAACTCTTCACACATGCCTCTCTCCTATAAGTGCACCAATCTCTCTCGCGTCCCTTGATGAAATCTTAGTCTAACGATGTCCCACCTAACTCTTTACGTGGTCAAATCACTCACGTTTTAAAGCTCGGTATTCAAATTTTTCACGTTACGCTAAGTTGCTACTGAAGAACTCGTGTTGTAGTATGAGTTGCAATGTTTCAGTGAAAGTATTTGACGATAGATCATTTTGGTAGTTGATTTTACGTTTTTAAAAGTATTAATTTTATGTAGAATTAGGAATTTTATTTAAAAGGGGCAAAATAGTAATTTCACCCTCAGATTAAAAACATTACAAAGTTCATTAATACTAATTTATTTGTCTAATTTTTACAATTAATCTAGATAAAAGGTAAAATTATTTTTCTTTTGAAGGAGTACATGGTAATTTCACACCCTCAAAAGCTTTATACTAGTTTGTTCGTCTCATTTCTGGCCATTGCCCCACCGCCGGGTGCATATTACTAAGAGAAGACTCGCCGCCAAGGAGAAATTGAGCGCGGAGCAAAAGCTTGAGCCGAAGGACAGAGAGAAATCATGCATTACAAGAAAGAACCCTGCAGAAATTTTCAGCGTGGCAGGTATGGTGGATTTTCTACCTATTTTCGTCTGTTTAGTGCTATTTCATCGCTATATTCGACAATTTTATCTTATGTTCTGCTTCTTTGATTGTTTGTAATCGCTAATTTGAGCTAAGACTTCGGAACACTGTATCGTTAAGAGATTCCTATACGAATCTGCTGAAGATTATGAGATTTTTGATAGTTTGGTTCGAGGTAGTAGGATGAATTAAGTGGGATTTTATGCTCTTTCTGAGATTTAGTGGAGTGTACCAGGGCTTGGATTTTAATCCATTTACTTCAGTAGTTAATAGTGGTGATATTTGCGAGAAGAGAGTTCTCATCTTCGTGGAATCTTGGTTGGGCGAAGAGGAATTCAGGGAAGTAAGATATTTTCAGTTCTCAAGTTTGTTGATTTGACTATAAAATGTGCGGTTTTATTTTTCGTTTTGAAATTTTTCTTCCATATGTCCAAATTTAATGCATTATGCTTGGAAAATCGATAATTTTTCTTGGATAGCACATCCATGTTTGTTGATATAGCTTAAGCTTTTTCAATGGTTTGATATGCATTGGTTGTGCTACACCAATGTCTCATATTTGCTCATTTAAGATTTGTTGGGAGGAGTTACACTTCAAGATTAAGAGATTCTTGAAATTGGTAGTTTCAGCTATCGTGCCAGTTTTTTTTTTAATTGGAAGTCTGCGTTTTAGGAACACTTTGCGTTGCCTCATAGCTGAAATCAATAGTTCTTAGCTCTTAGTTTAGTAGTCTTTTTACTTCCATGTCAGGTGGAAGGATGTCTTTTCCTCGGACATTCTTTTGTAAGGTATATTTTCATATTTTCACATGTTACTATGTTATTATATTTTAATAAACAACTGTTCCTTAACTTTACATGAATCTTTTTGTTGCATCGTGATGTAATCTTGATGTTTAGTTCTCTGATTGAAGTAGATACCTTTTCTTATATACTTTTAAACTTCGAAAATATATTATTAGACCTTAATGACCTAACTAAAAGAAGAGAATGGAAGTATCTATTAGATTAGGACATGATTATTCTTTAAATGGCTTACTGTTAGGATCACTTTTTTTTTTTGTTTTTTTTGTTTTGGTTCTCTCATTCCCAGGTTTCTCATCCCCAACTGAACGATATCATGTTTTATCCAAGTTCGATTTTTTGTAGCCTTTATTTATATTTATGTGCTGCTTTGTGCTTAATGTCTAATCTGCACTATTTCAGTTGTCAATATGGTGAAAGGTGCAAGTTTCTCCACGTCACTCAGCAACCACAGAAACCGAGTAACTTTGGCTCTGGGATGCAAACAAGTTCACAGCAACAGCAAAAACCTAATCCCTTTGGATTTGGAGTTCATAGTACTGGTCAATCTAAAGCAGCTGTTGATTCTGGATCCAAACAAAACCAATATAAGGTCACCTTTCATTTTTGAGACCTTATGCTCATATATGTTTGAAGTTGTTAGCAGCATGGCTTTTTTCATCATAAACCTCAATAATGTCTATCTGAGGAGTTAGAGTTCCTCCACATAAAAGAAATTTTTATTACATGAAAGAATGCCAATATACAGATATGCAACACAAGGTCCATTTAAAGACTTAATTATGTTAGACCAACACTAAGCTGAGTAGCACGAACAAGGAGATTAGACTTGGACATCACGGCGTGTCAATTAGAAAAGTAGGAGCAGGAGTAGGACATGTTGGGGATGCATTTTTAAAAAAAAGAATATATGTCTGTATATCGATAAATTAATACTTTAAAATAGATAAAACATGTAAATTCAACATAAAAAAAAAATAAGTGTGCTTGTAGCAGAGAGCTACAGGATCTCCTCTCGTGATCTCTTTTCGTCTTTCATAGGGTTTTTAGGGTTGGGTTAAATTTTATGGTTGATCATAAGTGGTGGATTGGGTTGGGCAATGAGCTAGGTGATTATTATTGTTATTGTTTATAATTTTTTAAAACAAGAAACAAACTTTTCATTGATTGATGAAAAGATAGAAAAAAATGTTCAGGCAACATTGTCCAGAGGGAGAAAAATATAAGAAAGCAGAAGTACAGCGAACAAGGACATAAGAATGCATCCCAGTGAAGAAAAATATTGTTGAAAGCACAATTATCAAATAAGGAAGACAATGAACACCAACGAGAGCACTATCCCACGCATGTATTTAGGTTGATGTATCCGCATGTTCCCCATGTGTCGAGACATGTCCAATGTACGCCTTTAATGTGTTGTAGATATCTGTGTCCGATATGGACACTTTCAAAAGGAGTGTATGTACTTTGTAGATGCTGACTATAGCCTGAGGTATATTATTATTTGAGCAAGAAATAGGACTTTTCATCAACGAAAAAGTTAATAGGAGTACAAAGTACAAGGTCTACAAAGAGTTGACAGAGAAGGAAATGAAAATGAAGGGAAACTAAAGACCAAGACTACGAAAAAGCCTTCCAACCAGCATAAATACAAAACAATGAATAGGCATAAAAAACTTGAGACAGTGAACACCAACAAGACTTTGATCTTGATGAGTTCAAAACGATCTTCTTAATTAAGAAACTTGTCTTCAAAGGTTCTTTGTTTTATTTCAATTTCAAACCAAAGATCCGATTTTGAGGTTTATTATTATATTTTATCTCTGTTTGGCCTCTTTCTTTATAGTTAATTTTATCTTGGCTCGTTGTCTTGGGTGGTGTTTATTAGGTCCTTGTGTATTCTTTCATTTTTTCCATGAAGTTTTTTCTTTTTCTTTTTCCCACAAAAAAAGTGCTTAAGCCGCACCCACCCACAATATCTTTTGTAACCAGATAAGAGCTACTACTAAACCTCCTAAGGTGCTACAATAGGAAAAATTCTTGTTATCTTATGGCCTCGGAAGAGAATACTTCTCTAGCCTTCTCTTTGAGGGGTTAGAAAGGCCCTCAAAGAGAAGGCTATAATATATATTATATCCCCCCCACCCCCCACCCCCTGTTCTTTTCGAACTTCTTATGTACTGAGATAAATTCATAATTTTGATCCATTACTTCTTTTTTCATTAGCTATATGATAACAAATGGACTCGTTCTTCCACACCTACTGGAAATGCTCCTTCTCGAAAACCAGACAATCAGCCCGCATCAGCTAATCACATGTGTGTGTCCAATCCTCTGGTCATCAGATTATATTTCCCTCTGTTTGTTGCTGTTTAGTCATAAATGTCAATCACTTAAAAATGGAATTGAAAATTCGTGTATATGAAGATGCACAGATGGGGAGTCTTGCAAGCGCCAAATTGCTGAAGATTTTCAAAATGAGAGGCCATTATGGAAACTGACATGCTATGGCCACAGTAAAAGGTATGCTCACATTTGGACTTGTCAATATGCTAAAATTTTATTCTGAATCCGTTGCAGTTGATGTTTACTTATTTTTTATTGAAGTCGGTGTCATATCAGTTTTTTTTATTTTTTTTATTTTTTTATTTTTTATTTTTTTTATTGAAAACTGAAACTTGTAGTTCCTGTTTAATGACATTTATTTGACAACTGCATCTAAAGATTGACTCTTTGGTTATTCTTTTTAAGATTCCCTTGGCTTTGGATAAAACTCGAAGAGCTTATACTGGTATCCTTACAACTTGTGTTAGTGTATTTATTCACATGAATTTTGAGTTATTTGCTTTTGTTGTACCACCCCTTTGCTCCTTTCCTTTTTGTTATCGTTGCATGTGCCTTTGTGGTTTGTTTGTCAAATGTTTAGTTGTTGGGAGACTAGAGGCTCTGAGTTGGTAGAGACAACATCCAAGTAAACCATCTCAATGTTCCTTTTTCTCTAATTAAGGCTCATCAAGTTAACGATTTGGTAGATGTGGTGAGACTCTGGCCTTCAAACCAATCAAAGTCTTCTAGAGTCGGCATCAATATCAGGGATGATGGTGTGAGTTACCTAGCTCATTTTATGGCTGTTCTACAGGACTGTGGCCTTTCTCCTGGTCATGCCCCTGGGCAGAAGACCAGATGGTTCTGAATTTCAAACCTTATGAAGACCGTGGTTCAAATAGATTGGACCCTGTTGAAGACTATTTTTCAAATAGATTGGCTAAGTTGAAAAGACTGACGTGACCTAGAGGATGTAAATGGACCCTTGCAAATGTTACTTATCCATTTTTTATTTATGAAGAAAGATTGTGAGGAGGCTGGAAAGGTTATTAGAAATTTCTTCTGGAGAGGCACTAGAATGGAGGAAGATGTAATCTGGTTAATAGTGAAGTATCCTCCCTGCCAATTTCCAAGGGTGGTCTTAGTGCTGGGAACCTTCGAGCTAGAAAATGGCCCTTCTCGCTCAAGGGAGATGGTGATTCATGAATCCAATAAAAATAAAAATAAAAAATAAAAAATAAAAAATAATAAAAAAAATAAAAAATAAAAAGAAAGAAAAAAGAAAAAAAAAGCTTGTTTGGAGAAGCCTGCAAATACGAGCTTGCTCCTAATGGATGGTTCCCTCCCTCCAAGGGACAGTACAGACTTTTCAAGGCTTTATGCGAGGATGGATGGATTCTCAAGTTTAGGAGAGACCTGGTGGATGCTGAAATTGAAGAATGGGCTGCTTTTGCAAATCTTCTCTCTTCTTTTTCTTCTGATGCGGCAGGATAGAAAGAAGCGCTCCCTCGAAAGGAGTGCTACGTTCAGTGTGAGAACTTTGGTGCGAAAATTAACTATTGAGCAAGCTGTCCTCAGTTGCTTCTTTGTGAATCTTATATGGAAAGCAAAGTGCCGTAGAACATGAAGGTTTCATGTAAATTTTTGCTCTTTAGAGGCTGAACTCAGTTGTTTCTTTGTGAATCTTATATGGAAAGCAAAGTGCCGTAGAACATGAAGGTTTCATGTAAATTTTTGCTCTTTAGAGGCTGAACTCGTGTTGTAAAATCCAAAAAAGATGATTACGGCGTTGTCTCCTTGCTGGTGTGTGATGTGTAGAAATGATGAGGAATATCAATATTAACTTCCTTTTGCGGCCTTACGTTGGCATGAGCCTTTCAAGATTTTCAACATTTGGTGTGTCTTCCCTAAGATGGTTGGAGATCATGGTTTAGACAAGAGGACTCCAGTTGGGATTTTTTTGGGGTCATCGTAGATTTTTTTTGCTTCTACATGGTGTACTTGTTAAGGGTTTTTCTAACTATGAATTTATATGAATCTTTGCCTATAAGGAGCCTATTTCGTAATTCCTTTGTGGTAGGGACTATCCCATATCCCGTTCTTTGTTTGCATGTTTCTTACCCGCCCCCCCCCCCCCC